GAAGGAAATAGGAGGGCTGAAACCCACTCAATATGGAAACTAATTATTTTTATAATTGTTTATGTGAGTGATCTACAGTAAATATTTAAACAATCACAATATTTGTTTTTAAAATGATAACGCTTATACATAAAACTTATTAGTATAATGAAAACATGTGCCATGAAAAAAAAATCTCTAAAAGCAAAGATGCTTTTTCAAGATTTTTTTCAAATTTATTATTATTATTTTTAAGAAAAAGTTTTAAGGACCACTTAAACATTATTTCATATAGGTAATTTATTTACTTTTCCACAATAATTCCTCTCTTCCTCCCCCTCTCCCCAAAAAAAAATCCTGGATATGCTACTGCCCATAACAAAGAAAATTGCCACCTTAGTGGTCAATAATGTAATTTACTCGTGATTATACCTTTGCAAAGCATTAAAACTAGAAACTTACTTCAAATAGATCAAAGAAGCCAACGAGTGATATGGACCCCCTTCTTTGGCATCACCTAACCACCTGGCCATTGACCATGTACTAATAGGACCTCGTAAGAAATTGGGTTATGCAGGCAATGGAAAAGTCCAGTTCCCCAAGAATCCACTTTCCAGAGTAACTTTGTTGTGCTAATAGATGTTCCTCTTAAGCAACCATGATACCAACAATTTCCATTATAGACTGGCATTTAAGTTGTCTTTCAACCTCAAACCTAATCAGTTTAATTCCTCACTTATTATCAGACTGACTTCAAACTGATCTTGCGACTCAATAAATGATCTACCAATATACAATTGAAAAAAAAAAATAGTTTCATACACTAGTGGATTCAACATTTAGTTTTGGAGAGCTTCAGCCCGAAAGATATTTTTTAAAAATATATAACGATAATTACTAAGGAAGAAAGAGAAAGAAACTAAATACCTATATGAAATAGAGTTTAAATCAATCTTTAAGTTCTATTAAATGTATTACACGAACAATTATACTTTAAGAGGTAATTATTAAATATTTTTTTCATAAGATATGGATATCATAAGATTAAATTTTACCATTTTTTGGGGGAGAGGGAGAGGGAGCTTCGGCCCGAAAGCCACTCCTTCCCCCTACCCCTCCCCCCCCGTAGATTCACCTGTGGTTTCATGATGATTTAAGTTTGTCATTACGCATAGAGACATTGTTATTAGTCAGTAATATTCAATATTTCTGAGATTTTGTTAATTAATCTTTTCTAAAAAATAAAATCCATTTGTTAATATTTAGTTTTTACGTTTCACCATTGGAAATTTGGTAAAACATAGTAAAGCAGTTCGAGATCTTTCATTCATGTCAATGAGTACTTCAATTTGCTATTTTGTTGCCATTTGTTATGATATGTGAAAATAAATATGTAGAAGTAAAAAGGACAAAACAAATATATTTATTACGGTTAACCATAGCCAAAGTATATTTTGTCTCATCAGTTGTTGAATTTTTTTTTATCGATTATTGTTTAAAATTTTGCCTAAGTTCATCGAGAAATTTTTTTGATAACGATTTCTAATTTATTCATATTTTAATGGCTTCTTATTCTATTTGATGATTTTTTACATTATCAATGTTATTTTGATTTTTTTCTATATGCATTAGTTGTTATTATGTTTTTATATTCTAATAATATTTCTTACAATAAATTATTTTCAAAGAAGACGTTTTTCTGTCCAGGCTGATAGTATTATATTAGTGTTACTATTACAATCACTCGGAGTTGCTCAATCCTCTCCCCCAAGGTCGATGGCGCATGTCCCTCACTTCCTTAAGAATGTTCAGTCTACATCTCTTCTTAAAAACGGTAAAAGGAGGCGGGGTGGCCGAGCGGGTTAACGCATATGCAGAACATGCAAATGTTTTCCGGTAACCTAATAAACCGAAGTTTTTTTGTTTTTTTTATTGATGATATTTACAACTGTATTACAAGTAAAAATACATTCAGTAAATGTGAACAAAGGAATAAAATAGCATGAAATCACATATTGAGAAACTACCCATTGTTAGCACTCTAAAAATGTATTTACAAAAGGAGATCTCGAGGCCATCTTCTTTTCAGACGCCTCTGAGGGTTGACAGGGATCGAAGAGGAAGCAAGGTTAGAAACGAGAGGGTTTGGATGGTTCTGAAGTTTGTTATGGAAGGATAGGTATCTGGATTGGGCCAAGTCAGAAACATAAGGAACATCGAAGTTTATAATATAAAATAATTACGAGTTCCCGGTGCCGAGGAGAGGGGTCTTTTAAATCTGGAATTAATCCTCCGCTCTCTCTCCTGGACAGATAGAAACCCTTATAGGCTTAAAGGCGTGGAAAGGGTCGTATAAAAAGAAAAGTACAGGGCGGGGTGGCCTAGCGGGCTGTGATAAACCGAAGTTCACGAATTCAAATCCCGGAACGGGGAGGGAATTTTTTAACTCTGGCATATAATGGGCGAGGAAGAGGAGCAAAAAACATAAATAAAAAAGGTGCAATTGGAAATATAATCATAAAGTTAAATTTTTACCATCTTTCCTGATTTGGAAATTCTTCCGAATTGAAATCCGATAAAAATATGGTTCCCTTCAAAAACCACAACTTCACAAAAATGTGCCTCTCTTAATTTTATTTTCAATTACTCTTTTTGTTCTCTGTTCCATGTTTTTTCTCTTATTTCTTTACTTTAAATTTCACTTGATGGGGTTTTTCTTTTTTCTTGAAAGATAATAATATTCAGATTATATACAGATCACCCATGAATACTTTCCTCAGAACTCTGGATAGTCGTAATGGGAGCTGACCACGGACTCAACTAACAAGACGTTAGAGAACGACTACCACTTATCAAATAACTGGTAATTAGGAGCAGTTTCACTCTCGATACGGCGGTGATTATTTCCTGTGATCTGGTAACTGTTACCTAATAGCTGCTACTTTCAGGTTTGCTCCTTGGGCGGAGTCTCAACCTTTGTTGGTAACTTTCTTTCTAGCATTGTTATAGTTTCTATTTCTTTCCTCTAAACAGCTGGAGGATTTAGTTTTTGATTAACATTTTTTTTGTTTACGCTTATTTGAAAAACATTGTAAACATCGTCTATTACTAATAACAACTTTCAGATCTATAAAATTATACTGTGGTTCATCCAATACCTTCAGCCAACAAAATCGTTATACCAATTTCAGTTCGAAAACATTAGCGCGGGCACATGGAAGATATTATGAGGGAGTACGGTGGTTATAAAGTAACTTAGTCATCAGTTAATTACCTGTCGTATAATCCTAATACAATACAAGTTATAGAATAAGTAAAAGAATTTTAAGAATAATAAATTATTATTGAACTCCTTTGTGAGGAAATGGCTATGAAATATTGGAAAACTACAGTAATCCTGACGTCCATCATAAAATATTCGGGCTCTGATAGGCAGAGATTACCTTGCTCCCTTACCATCCATGATTATCCGTATTTTGTACGTTCTTAAATTTGAGTTGGAAAACTAAGTGGGATGCTCTGTTGGGTATACCTGCTTCCAAAATCTTTATAAATTACTAACATATTTTAGTGATTACTGAGGAGTAATGGCTTTAGTATATTTGGGAGTCCTGTGCTCAGCAAGTTTTGAAGTCTTTTAAGCTTCTTACAAATTTAAAATATGTTGCTTTGTGTAATACACAGTGGTGGTTATTGATTGTATTTCTTCCTTTAATATAATTTAATATTTTATTGTTATAATGTTATACTAAAAATATACTTAAAATAGTTTGGAAGTAAATCAAACTTTCAGGAATATGTAAATCAAATGTAATAAGACATGAAGGAGAAAGGGCACTTGTGTGTAAAAATTAGCCACCTTCAATTTACACTCTTGATGAGGAAACAACGTTCTGAAAACAGTCGTACATGTCATGACTAACATACCAGCAGTATCCATCGAGATTACTTAATTTTTTAACAGTTGATAAAAAAGCACTCCGGTAAGAGGAATTAAAAATATTTAATCATAAATAATAAGAACTTTTTTTTTTAGCCTATTGACTTGTCAAGGAATCAGGCGTTGAAGCAGACTGATGTAAAGGGAGGAACCACCATGGTTAATATAATAAAAAATATTTTAATTAATTATAAAAAAACGAGATACAAGAAGATCATTGGTAATAATGCAAGTGAAAAACTGAAGACATTTAAAAACTATGGTGGATATCACTCAGATCATCAAGGGAAGTTATTAGTTGTTTTATTGTTTGCATAAAATATTTACGCTAATGGAGCTTTATTGTGTCAGAATAGGGCTCTTCTATTCTCGTATTGTTATATTGTATATTGTTTGTCCCGCAGTCCCAAATTATTACGGGTAAAGCTAATTACCGAGGTATATGAAGTTATTTCAAGACAAATCAGTAAAATATGAAGATAACCTGTTTCTTTTTAAGCAATATTTTTCTTTTAAGATTGTAAGGGAAGATTATCATTTTTTAAAATTATTATTCAGTTTTATTACATGGTTAAGTATAACAGTTTTATTGATAAGACTTTGAAGAAGGCTACTAAAAAAAAACAAATTGACAAATCTTGAACTTTTTTTAAAAGGATGTATGTTAAGGATGTATGCGTACTTTTCTTCTGTTTTTCTAGCCAACATAAATTTCTGTTTATGAATTAGTTGCGTGTTCCCATATATTTCAAAGATATGCTTCATGTCGAATATTAAGATTATCGGTTTGTTATTTACTTTTATGAACTATGTTTTACAAATATATATCTTTTTATTGTTATTTATTCTTTTTATTGTAATTTATTAAGCATTCCGGTTATTATTAATTGGTATATATTTTTTCAATTACCTTCAGGAACAAACAGTTATATCGTAACTTGGATGTAGTGTTAGCTCTAAAAGATAATAGACAGCTCGACAGCTAATAGTCACGTTCATTTGGAATTGGGCGGGTGGAAGCGGTTCACTTCGTTGACACTTGTCCTCGTTCCTGAACGACTGCACTAACGGTCAGGGCACAATGCCTCCTGGATCTGAGTTAGGGAGGCAGCGGTGTTACGTCTCCCTCGGTCGGCCAACCGTCTCTGTTCCTGTAATGATTGTCACCTCTGAGGACGATCATTTTGTGTCTGACGCCATTCCAGACCCTAATTTCTGTAACTATATCGTTAATTATGCATACAGCATTGGTTACATATTTGATGTTTTTGAGGAAAGGATGGGCCAAATACTGGATGAATTATGAAGAGTATTCTTGAAAATTAAGAAAATATGCTTTAAAAGAGGAAAGAAATTAGAGCTGTATTGCTATCGGTCACAATCCATCAGTCCAACCTTCCACACTATAGCAGACATTATGGCTATATAAAAATGGATGTATAAACATGCTTAATCCATTTGGAAAAAAAATCTATACTTTTCCAACAGTTGGAACCAGTAGCAGGTCCAGGATTTAATTTTGGGGAGCTTTTTATTTATTTATTTTTTTAATAACGGTAATTACTTTTGAAGGAAAAAAAAAATCTACCTGTATGTAATGTTGTTTAAGCGGTCGTTGAAAGCAAAAAAAATGGTTTATAACATGAACAATAATTTCTTATATTTTCCGTTGAGCTATCAAATTTAATAGCATTGCATATGCATTATAATTTAGAAAGAGGATATATTGTGATTGTTTATGTATTTAACATAGAACATTCACATAAACAAATATAGAACAATGAAAGAAAAAAATTTCCATTTTTTTTGTGGAGAGCAAGGAGGAGGTTTTACCCCGAAAGCTTCTCCTCGTAAATATGCCAGTGGTTGGAACAAAATTTCATGATAGTTTCAATAGTTTTGACAAAGTTGCTCAACAATTTCAAGTTTTACAACAATTTAGTTAAAAACATTAAAATAATATTATTTTTTTCAGAAATAAATTAATTTTCCCAACTTTTTAACTTCCTCTCATTAAAGTTGATATTTGAATATAATAATTTTGTTTTCTACTCGGACCCAATATTGCATTGTATAAATTAATAATTCCTTAGAAAGTATTTGCATCGGTTTTACATTTTACTGACTTTTTGGGGTTTGATCAAAAGGATTGATCACAATCGTCGCAATTTGAAGTAGGTTGTCAAAACTCATATTTCCTAATCGGGAGGAGTGACAAAGCATTTCTTTTTAAAGATAGTACAAGGAGAAGAAAAAAGTATCCAGTAAAGCCATTATCGCCTACCATACAGAAAATAAAGATGTTTCACTTACTCAGAAAAGATAAATTCAGCCTAAATTTGAAGGCTAAAAATTATTAAATATGTAGTAGGAAAAGAATTTGAACTTTCACATCTCTCATCTCAACCTAACTATTAATACTTACTTATTTTATTGATTTAAGGGAATGATGATTGATGATGAGAAAAAAAATAAATAGGTTTATTGTGCTAGATAAAAACTAGGTCACCGTATCTTATATTGCGAATCTAAATTCATCACTTTGAGCACATGTGAGCTGCAGAACTACTACATCATCGAACATATGCGTCTTTGACAAGGTCGCGTGCGTACATATGTTGAGGACTTTGATTCATTATGTTTATTTTAGTAACCATCGTTTATTTATGAATTGAGATCTTATTAGCGAAATCTATTTATTGATGAAGATTTGGAGGATAGAATCATTTAGTTAAAAAATTAAAGGAATATTTTACTAAATGAATTTCATAAGTTTTAAGTCATAATATAATATGTATTAAAGCATAATATTAATAAGTATCTTCCAAATTAATAAATATTATTCATTTATACTTTAAACATTTGTACTAATATTGTAGAGAAAAGTTTTTCTAGTATAATATATCTCCATTGTATTAAAATATAGCTTAAACATACCTACTTTAAATTTTAGAACATTAAACTTATTCAAGTCATAAGTTTACTCCTTTTGTATAAGTATTCGATTGTCATTAGCAATAATAGAAAGGTTTAAAGGCTGAAATGTACTAACGCTTTATTTAGGAGATATTACAAATAAAGATTTTTGTTGTTATGAATTATTAACGTTATATGAAATAAATAAAACCTATTTATTTATTGTAACTACTTTATTAATTAAATGTTAATATTAAATTCATATTAAATATTGTTCAAAGTGATTTCCTTGAGCATTAAGACGGGCTTAACATCTTTCTTCAAGAGCAGCAGTGGCAGAGCGGCACTGGATATATGTTACTGTTTCACAAGATTCAATAATTCTTCTTCGTAAGGAATTAAGATCATTGACTGGACTTGAATAGACTTTTTGTTCAATGTCACCCCAAACAAAAAAATGCAATGGTGTCAAGTCTGGAGAGCGTGCAGGACAAACCACTGGTCCTGCACGGGCAATCTATTGATTGGGTTATTTGATAAGGGATATGATGGAGCAAGTAGAAACAAGAAAAAAAAATTCCTCTGAAGGCATGTCCGCAAACGCTTTGTTTAGGAGACATATCACACCTAAATATTTTTGTTGTTATAAATTATTAAATACATATATATAATTATTAAATTATTATGTATATTTGTATATATCGTCAATACCAATGCCAACCATCGAATAAGAAAAAGTTTCAATCCTGTGCTGTAGCGATTGTACTTGTAATTAAATATTTTTAACAGTGAATATAAAATCTTCAAACATTCATAAAAGTACATATTAGTGTGGAAATCGTCGTTGTTTGAGGTTAATAGATATTGGTCTAGGAGTGGTGATATTTAGATTCGAGAGTTAGGATTTGTATCGTCGATATTTAAACATGATTCAAATTCACAAAGGAATACACAGATATAAGATCTCCCACAGGGTCGTCCTTTTAAATTTACTGAGAAGATGATAAAAACTTTAAATGCCCATTTAAAGGGTTGAAGGTAGGTTAAAGTAAGATTCGTGCCTCGACGTTTTTTTGAGTTGTCCTATTTAGAACAGCCTGGGCGACCACGCGTGGGCCTTACCGTTCCGTTGGTAACGACTATTTTCGTAGTTCCGAGGGAATGCCTGTCCTATCAATGGAGGCTATGTTTACTTTTTTTTACTATTATTAACTGAGAATCTTTTCTTTGCTGCATGTGATAAAAAAATGATTTTTTTTTTTTGTAGTTTGTCTAGTAATGGATGTTTTTAAAATTTACTTCAACGACTAGTAATGTTTATGACTATTAAGCGAGTAATTAAGTTATTAACTACAGGTTTTATTTTTGTATAGTAAAAAGTAATGATTATTTTGACGAAAATGTTGAGTTTTAAAAATTTTAATCTCTTACAAAATATCTCTGCAAAGTAGAATGAACAGCGTTATAACTGTATATGTATATATACTTTTTAACTATCTGGAAATGATTTTTTTTTAAATTAAAAAATAATACTAATTATTGATAACCTTAAGTATGTAAAAACAGTTATTTATAATTTAATATTTATTTGATTAATTAAGTTATTAATTACAGTTTTTATTTTTGTAGGATTTATTAAATATTATTATTTATTTTAGCCATTTTTGATTTTTACTGATCACCTCAACCATCCTTTTTTTCAATTATTCATTTGGTATAGACCAGATTTGTAAATATGTATATATATATATATATATATATAAGCAATGGTATATATAAGCAATGGTGGCCAATGGCGGCTAAATTCTGTTTATAAAAATCTGGTGCGCGCAACAACCAAATTTCACTTATCTCGATTCTTTGAATATAAATTATTCTATGGCAATGTTGGGCAATTATAAAACTTTTGAAGTGCACTTTTAACGGAGCTATAGCTTAAACCTTACAGCTAACAAATCATTAAGATCACTAAAATAACAAAAACCTATTAATTATATCAACAGTAGACAATAAAAACCTCGGTACTCCATCTGTTTTTGTAAACCACATAACTCCAGTATCTGAGGTATATATATATATATATATATATATATATATATATATATATATATATATATATATATATATATATATATATATGCCTTGAGAGATTTGAAAGTATATCTCTATACTATATATAAAGTCGTATATTTTTTTTTCTCACCATCCCGCTATACTATACTACAGATACCCCAATTTTAGGAAAACTTCCTTGTTTAATAAGCTTTAAGTTCATATTAATTAAATCGAGGTTTATTAGGTAAAAATTGAGATTCACTAAGTGTTCTTATTTTTCATCTTGTCACCTAAAAGTACCCGGTTTTTCAGCAAAATGCCTATACCTAATTGTTGCAAAGCTTTTATTTCTTATTTTCTATGATCTGAGATCTCCAGTAATAATCCAGACATAAAGAGACACAAGTAAATAAAAAATAAGAATCATATGCTAACGCATCATATAACTAATATATATATACAACATATTAATGAACTTGAATTTATATTGTTTTTATGTTTCAGGTATGTTACTGGCTCCAGATGCCTGCTAAGTGCTTTTCACTTTTCTATTTATTAAGGTATAGTGATTAAATTTGGTTATACTTAGAAACTAATGAATTGTTATAGCTGTATTTAAATGGTTGAAAAATATTTTAAAATTTTATCAATTAAAAACTGTTTAAAAAAATGTATAAAAATGTTATTTCTTTCTTATTTGGCTCAATTATCGATTACTTGTTTGCATTTATTTCATTTAAAAACTAGTGTATTGTATAACGACATGCACGATCCACAAAATTTATGATTCATTCATAAATTGATCCTTCTATATTCATATATATCATAAAACTGACGGATTTAAGCTTGCTCTGATTCTCTTCTTGCTTTTTACCCATCACTGCATGGTTGATCAAATAATTTAAATGAAAATATATGAAAAAATTGTCTGTTTTCTAAGGAATAAGATCTGTTAAATGTTGTTTCTTTTTAATCATCGTAAATTAATTATGAAATTTCCTCATATCTGATTACATTTAAAACATCTTAGTTTAATTCACAAATGTTCATATATCTGTCATCCCCTCCATCAATAAAAATGTTGAGAGGGGGAGACAATATCGTTTCGTCCCACTAAGCTACACGAATGAATTCAATTTGTAAACTGAAATCGACTAAGAAAAGTCGACTAGCGACAGTATGTATTCGTAACCCGCTATATTAACCACCGCAGATGCCAGTTGGAATGCTAAAGCCTTAACTGGAAGATGTGACCGTCACAATTAGTCTCGCAGTTACAGCTTGTTAATGTCAATAACAGTTCTCCCTGTTTCTGGTAACTGCTCCTCGACGCTC